GTGTCCGGGATGCGGATAAAACTCAACGACAAAGCGACTCAAAAGTCGATTTGAATGTTTGTCGTGTCCGCTTTTCACTTCTGTCCTACGCTTCTTTTTTTGTCAGCTTTCGTTTTCATTGCTCTGCAGCTGGTTTTCCTGCTATTCAAACTTATCCCCCCCTCAGCCATGTACGCCTCCGGATCGTTCCGTATCTGTTACACCCGCATAAGCAGCTAATTCGTTTATTATTTTTATTGTTCCGTTGACATTATTTACGTAAGCTACTTGTCAGCTTTTCACTTTGCTGGTAACCGAGTCCTCTGTCCTCTGTCCTCAACCCTCAGCCCAAAGTCCTCCTTCCTCCTTAGTTCCACGCTCTCCTGAGTTAAGGGGAGGCTGCTTTATAATATTCATTTCCATTTTATTTGCCCATTTACAAGTTGCAATCTTCATGCTGAAGGCTCTTTGGCAGTCACTCAGTCCAATTGAATCCCTTCTTTTCCCTTTTCCCTTTTCCTTTCTCCATTCTCCATTCTCCACTTTCCTTATCCCTTGCGGCTGAACTTGGTTCACATTGGGTCGCTGGCCTTTTGACTGGTTTGAGTTTGGGGTTGGCTTTGGGGTGAGGTTGGGGTTGGGTTTGGCCTTAGGGTTAAGTTTGGGGCAAGGCATAAAGAGTTGAATGCTGAGTGTTGACTGTTGGGTTATGCCTTTATTTGTCATTTGATGGCGAATGCCTTTCTGGGCAGGTTGGAGTGGGGTGTGGTGTTAGCATCTTCAAATGGTAAGTGGAAAACGCTTGACGGCTGCTTATTGTAGATTGCACATTAATAGACTGAGTTATTGATACAGCTTATTAAATGGTCCCTTGAGTTGGGGCTTAGACGACTTCATATGAGAGACAAGTTAATTAAGAAGCAAGCGCAAATAATTACATTCCCAACTGCCAACTGCCGCAAACTCAAACTAAAACTTAATTGTTTGCAATTAATAAATAAAATATAATTTGAATTTGAGCTTAGGCAATTATTTTGATTGTTGTTACACAATAAACATACCAAGGTCTTATCAAGTTTAAAAGTTATGAGTGTGGCTTTTTGATGTTAAATATAAAATAGTATTTAATTAAATATACGGAAAATCAGCAATCACATCAATTAATTGATCCACAATAATAAAAAGCAGTAAAATAGTGCATTTTTAAGATACGTTTTTGCTGAAGTTTTAGTGACACTCATGAGGATCTTACACATGGATGGTTAAAGGCAAATCCGCCAATTTAATTAAAGTCAGCATCAATTTGCCCAATCGAGCAGCTAAACGAAAAAACTCTATTAAGCTGATGTTCTCAGAATCATCTCTACCAGTGGAGTATCAAGTGGACCATCAATCGGTTCGAGCACAGAAGCCCGCACCGAAAACCGATTCCCCACCCAATGGCAGAACAATCGAGAGTCACTAAAAATGTCCGCTGGGCACTAAGCTGGCTAAAGCACTCCAATTAGAGCCAGCATCGGGTTTGGTAACTTGGCTTAGCTTAGGCAGCAAACTAAAAAAAAAAGCAACTAAGTGAACGCTAGTTGAGAGTGCCCGACTAGCATATACCCTGTTCCCCAATATAAATTCGTACTGACAATAATAAATATAGAGAAATATAAAATGAAAACACACTGCCAAGCTACAGTTCAATCAATCATCATAGTCTCAAAGATCTGTTAGATCTTTCTTCTTTTTGGGATGGTTTCCTCGAATTTTGCATGGACACAGGGTATAGAAGGGCATTGTCTGAGGTTGGCTTTGGATTACAGTCGGAGGCAAATAAAAATATGACAGGGTCGAATGTTGCACAGGACTCGAATCACACACACAGTTGACAGCTGAGCAGTCATGCATATGCAAGTGTGTGTGTGTGTGTGTGTGTGTGTGGGTGTGTATATGGGACTGCAAGTGCGACAATCGCGCCGCTGGCTATGACTGCTCATTTACACTTTTGCACACATACACGTAAACTCACACATGTACACATGTCCTGCGACCAGTACACAAAATCTGTCGCATCAGCAGAAACGGACGCTGACAATGACAACGAAAAGGGAGAGTACGAAAGGAAATCCTAGTCTATTATATTTATATATATGTATGAATGTATATATATATATATATATATATATGTATATATCTCACCCTATCTCTTATTCTGTGCCATTTTGTGAGGTTAAACAAATACAGTTAGTAGACGCTTGCCAACTTTTGCTGACGGAAATATTTGGTAGCGAAACGTACACAGGCAGAAGGGCGTGACATTAGGGGGCCCTCTTCCCTCTTTGCCTCTCACTCCAGGAGGTCAGTCTTATAGTGGATGGGGTGTCTGCAAGAAAATGATACAGAGGGAGAGGAGCAGGTGGAGGTGGAGGAAATTGTAGGGTGTTGCACGTTTCACCGTTCAATGGCCAGTTGTCATTTACTCGACTTCTCAGCTATGTCTCCAAAGCTGTCTTCTCTTTCTTTTCACTCTCTCTCTCTCTCTCTCTCTTTCTCTCTTTCTCTTTATCTCTCTCTCTCTCTCCTTCTCTCTCTGTCGCTCTCTTGCTTAGTGTGTGTTTAATTTAGTTTACTTTCGAGCAAAACTACTCCCGCATTCCCAAGTGTGTAATTTTAAATGTCAGCAACAATAAGCACACACACAAAGAAATACACACAAACGTGTGCTTGTGTGGATGTCAGGGTTTTCCAGCTGACCAACTGATTTAGTTAAAGTTGCACACAAAAATCAAAGGGAAGCCGAAACTCAAATTAAAGAAGCAAATTGAAAAAATTAGCTCCGAGCCAAAAAATAAGTTGTATAAACGGAATGCTGCCTGTAAAATAAATGGTTCACAAGTGGTTCAGAATGGGTTCACATAATTAATGCATAGAAAAACTTCAACTTCAACTTAAAATCTGCAAATGTGACTTAAAGCAGACAACAAACTGCATAAATATTTCAACAAGTTTTCATCATCAGTTTCATTTGTTATGCAAGCCTCACGAACATATTAAGTTCCTGCATGCTTTTCTAATGCAATATTTTTCTTCTCAAATAGAGAAGTGAAATGTTGTCTTATGCATCACGTAAGTGAATGCACAATTGAATTTTTATTTTTATTTAACATTTTTAGCAGAAATTTACCAATATTATTGAATTATTATTATTGCTATAAATATTATTTGTGCATCCATCACTTTAATTCTTAAAATAAATATAGTATATACTGCACCATTTCACCTACATCACCCAACCATTGTCCTCCCTCACTGCTGCATTCTGAGGTTTATTTAACAATCAGATTTCATTGCAAGTGCTTGCTGTATTTTTATTGAAGGCAGTGTACTTGGTCTGTTTGGGAATTTGACGCCAAAATGCATATGGTATACATAAAATTGTAGAATGTTTATTGAAAAGCTGAGTCATTTAACATGAGATAAGTCAACTGTATGCGGTAATCCAGTTTCGTAATTTTAATGCATTGGATAATCTTTGCAGACAGCCAAAAGAGCAAACTAGGGCACAATTATAACACACACACAAGATATACAAGGCGTAGAACGTAGTTAGTAAACACAGATCCCCCCGTTCGCCTTGCAGGCCAGCTTACTCATGTGTTCTTCATCGACCTGGGCTTATAACTGGGACACATGAGCAAGTGTTTAAGTGCACACAGACAAAGGCCAAGTATGAGATGATTATGAGGAGGACTGTGGGAGTGGGGGATGGATATGGATGTGGGGCGATAGATAGGACACGTAACTAATAAAATGGCTAGCACGCGTGTGCCAAGAAGTCCTTTTTGCCAGCCCATCTAATGCGCCCGACAGACTTCGATCTTTTGTGCAGACACTTGCACAGCCTCAGAGGCGCAAATATTTGGCCAAGTTAGCAAGTCGAGTTTGTCTGTCCGCCTGTTTTTGTGAGCTCATTAAATTTTGTCAATGTAAATATGTGAGTGTACAGTTAGCCAGGCAGGCAGTCAGGCAGGCAGTCAGGCAGGCAGGCAGTCAGGCACAGGCAGCACATGCAACACGTAGCTGAAGCCAACTGCCAACTGCCAACTGGCAACTTGCAGAGCCCAAGTCAAACGTTAGAACGGCATATGCACTTCCTGCGCATTTCCTGTTGCGAATCGTCCTCGCCACTGTCCCTGGCTTCTAGACGTCGGTGTCCTTTAGAATTTATTACGTGCAAATGTAAATAGTGGCACGTGCAAGCAGCAACTGCAAGCAACGAAGGACTCTCGGTGCCATGCCGCGTCCTGGCCGCAAGATGAATGAATGCTCCACGCTTGTGTCCTGTTGGCAATAAAAATGTTGTCGTCGCCAAACAAAGGCGAGCCAACAATCTCCCTCCCCGCCTGACCGCCTGCCTGCCTGTCATTCTTTTATTCAGCTTTGTCAATAGATAAAGCATCTACAAGATACAGATACTTGCCTCGGTTTCTGCACTATGCAAACAGCGCAGCTCAGTATGCAATATTTAGATTATTTATTTGCCCAGCTGTGGTCAGGTCGGTGGTATGGTCTCCTTTTCAGCTACATTGACCCACGACTGACGGTAATTTGACAGCTCAATGCAAATTGTTCACTAAGCACTGAACTATGCTCAACAATGCATTCTTGCATTTCCTAATTTGTGTCCCTCCAAAGCCAACACTCAATGAGACAATTGGTGGTTGGCATCTTAATGACATTAGCAAGACAATGGCCGCCTGATAAGCATTAGTTAAATAATTACACACCACAGTGGTCGCTTTGATATCTGAACTTGTGGCAATTAAAATGTGCCAATCAAACAACAATGCAATCATCATTTGCAGTGCATTGAATATAAAACTCATATGAATTAAAGTCCATTTATTACACTCTTGCTGGAAGAAAAATGTCTAGTAATTAAACAGTTATTGTATCTTTGCTATTTGTTGAAATTAAATCAAATGTTAAGCAATATTAGCATAACTCAATTCTATGCTTAACTATTCCAACAGCAGCTGCATAAGCGAGCAGTCAAGCGTCCATCATCACAGTGAAGCAACGCTAATGGGAGCTCCAGAGGACCTGGGATGATGAGAATCATGATGATGGTGGCACAGCAGAACGGTGATCAAATCGCCAAAAGCAGCATTCGCAATCGCAGCATACCGAATAGCGAGAACTTTGAGTTCCACAATCTCAGTCGGATGTCGACAAGACAACAACAGCAACAGCAACAGGAACAGCAAAGGCCACAGACAGCTAGACAGCAACAATTAGAGACAATTAGCCAGAGGCAACCCAATCAATCCATATTCAGACCGAAGCTGGCGCATTTTCAATTAGCTGCCAATGGAGGCAGACGATTGCAGCTGTTGCTGTTCTTTTTGCTCTGCAATTGCATTGGTAAGTGTAGATTGCTCAGAGTTTTTTTTATTTTTTTATATACATGTATGTGTGTTCAAGCGTTGCGATAATAATTTATCAATAATGATTGCCTATCGAGTTATCGGCAAATATTACGTTATCGATAACTTAATGGGAAAACGATGCTATTGAATTGAAGCAATCGATATGCATTCAAAATATATTTTATATATATTAAGACATTTCTGCTATGTGCACCATATGCTTTGCTTTGCCCTATCGATAACAATGTGCAGCACAATGGTAATCGTTATCGATCAATTGCACTTATTTTGCTTGCTAAACCCACCTGATTTGCAAAAAAAAAAAACGAAAAACTTAATAAATAAAAAAATTCGTTTGCTAGTTTTTTTTTATAATTTATCAACGTTTAATCAATATACCATTTATATTAAATAAACACTATTGCTTATTCATCCATAGTCTGATATGCCCAAAGTAAAATATGAAAGTTCGTTAATTGTGTTCAATCAATGTTTCCTCTTCATGGCAATTAACCATTGAAATGAAGATATTTCCATTTCACACAAAATCTCCTCAGTAGGCGCCTTCGAGCCGGATTTTGTCATTCCGCTGGAGAATGTGACCGTTGCCCAGGGCCGGGACGCGACATTCACGTGTGTGGTCAACAACTTGGGTGGTCATCGGGTGAGTGGTGACGGTGCGTCAGGCCCAGCCAAGGTATGTATCGGTTTTTCAAACGCAGCGTTTCAATTTATTACAATTTACACATCGTTTATCGTTTCATATTTCATTTCGATTCGATATCATTTCTCTTTTCTGTTTTTTTTTTCTATTCTTGGTTCTCTATTTCACATTCACCAGTTTCACAGTTGAGTGCACCATTGTTAACTATTTTATTTTTGGAATCAGATAATGAACCCACTATAAAGAATAAACTGCACAATATTGAAAATTATTATGTAACCTCTTAAGCGCACCTATTACTATTTATATAAGTAAATAAACATAACTATCGTAATATATTCTATATAATAATAGCACTCTGCATATTTAAAGCACCACAGCAACTACAACAACAGCAACAACAATATTAAGATATTCAACATTTAATAAAAAAAAAACACCAAAATATGAAAGAAAGCAACAAATTAAAAAAAAAACAATTTGGTTCAATGGAATATACCGAAAATATATACATACATATATATATATATACATATGTATATATATATATATATATATATATATATATATATATATGTAAAGATATTTATATATATATAAAAACATATATATGTAAGTATACATATGCATAGCTTTCTATTGTTTTTATGACCGTATTATTATTAGCGCTCACATTTAATTTATGACACAAAAAGAAACACCAAAAGAAAGAGAAGATATCAGTGCAAGAAAGAGAAACAACATTTGGCGAATATTATGCATATTTAATAATGTTTTGCATAAGGTATTCAAGGAATGCCAACAAAAAATGCTATAAACCGGAAAGCTTTTGTTGTTAAGAACAATAAACAAGTGCAGAGCAAAAAATATATATATATTTATATTTATATATATATTATAAATAAGCGAGCTGCACAACAATACAAATGTAAATCAGAGAGAAATGGAATAAAAATAATATCGAGTAATGCACAGAGCACATAAAAGAGGACCAGGACAAAAAGTGACCTACTATAAAGTTATTTATATTGAAAACATGCGAACTTTATTCTTGTAATCCTAGAAGCTTGTTAAATGCTTGTTGATCTAACCAGATTATAACATGTTACTGCAAAAATGTTTAATATAATTGAGGACTACCACTGCTTAGTGGTAGTGCTGAACATTAACCAGTACGAAATACTTTGCAACAACAATTGTATTATAATATCGGTATAGACATATACTTTTATCGGTAATTCACATATCCATTTGGGTTGGGTTAATACAAAAAAGTCTAAGTATAGTTCTCTCAGGAGGGAAGTATATGAAATTCGCTCAAGGCTCACTCATTTTTTTTTTTTGGATAGATCTCCCGGCATATAGTATGAAAGATATCAGTGGTGGCTGCACTCTCAAATTTATACCCTTGCGGTCTTTTTATGCGATATCAGACCACACTCCTCGTTTCTTTACACTCTACGCGGAAGGTAGGGAAAATTCGAGCAATTAAAATAAATGTAAATAAACATTTAAAGTGCTCAATTGATGACACAAGAGGAATGCGGGAGCGTGAAAACGTTCAAATGAATAGTCTGAATAGTTAGTAGTTGGAGGGACTGAATATCATCGCCTTTAAATGTTACTGAAATGTATATATGTCGATTTTTGAATTTTATTTCACATAACATTGCTCCTTCATGGCTGAATACAATGAAATGCATTTTGTTTATGCATTGCAAAACCTGTCTCTGCATATGTGTGGTATGCGGGTGTGTGTGTTTGTATGTGCTGGCATTGTGCAATGGACATCAAAGAGTGTTAATCAACGAAATGGTATCATAAATAAAAATACCATTTCCCATAAATCCTGTGATGTTTTTAACAAATAAGAGCAACACAACTATTTAGGCAGACTGCGCAAGATAATGATTGGCGAGATAGAAAGAAATCGAAAGAGGATCCTGACTCAAAATTTAACTTTATTTAATATTATAAACAAAATATTGTCAACATAATAAATGGAAAACGCATTATATGCATAAAAATAAACATTAAAAAAAATAATATAACAACAAGAAAAAGAAAAATGAATAGGAAATTCTACAAAACTAAATTTAGATTACAGGAATGCAACGAAAAACGCGACAGATAAGGCAAGATATAATAGATTAATATATAATTCAAATATAGCACTAGGAAAAAAAATTAAAATCATATTTAAAGAGGCAAGGTTAAAGGTTCAGATCTTTCGGATCCAATACTTGTTAGTCGTATAAATTGACACAAGATTCAGAGTTCCAGGAACGAATTGTATAAAAATTGAATGAAAAATCTATAGGAAAATTGATGCAAATTTGAAGATATGTATTTTTCGTAATGTGCACGTGATTTTGTTGGCCTTCTCGCAATTTGTTTGAAACCACCAACGAGAGCAGCAACAACAACAACAAACAGGAACAACATCGACGGCGAGAGTATAACAAACAATGAGAGCGACAAAAGAGTCGCATAATCGTCACATTGTTTTCAGTCGTGTTTCGATTATATTTTATTGTTTCTCTGCTTTATTTAATCTCCATATTCTTTAGGTATTTTTTTGTCTTTTGTTTTTGGAAATTTATTTCATTTTGTCAAGTGAGAAAGAGAGTCAAATATTTTTGAATGAAAATAAATTCAAGCGCGTCGAGTTAAAACCGAAACAAACTTTGCACCACTTTTTTGTCATATGTGTATGTGTTCGTTCATATGTATTTGTGTTTGTTCCCTAGTGTGTGTGTATGTGTGTATGTGTGTGTGTGTGTATGTGTGTGTGAGTGGGTGTGAGTGGGTGTGTGTGTAAGTGGGTGTATGTGCGCGAGTGTGTATGTGTGTGTGTTGTACATATGCTTGTAGTCCTTTATGTAGTGCTATTGTAGTCCTTTAGTCCCATAGCTCTGTAACACTGTATTGCTGTAGTCCTGTATTTAGTGCTACTATATCCTGACTTTATGATATTTGCTCGCCGTATTTGCATTTTTCACATACACAAACTTTTGCCTCTTTTGAGTATATTTTATTTGTTAGTCACACTCACAATCGGAATTTCGCAATCCTCTGCTTCGACTGTGTTGCACCCTTCGTCCCGTTTCCCCCCGGCATTACTCAATAAATTTGCTTTATTGAGTAAATAAATAAAGTGACAGACAGTCCATAGCAGCGTGCAAACAGACGCCGCACATCCTCCTGTCCTTCACCTCCTCCTTCTCCTCCTCCTCGTCCTCGTTCTCGTCCGCCTGCTGTCCAGTTTGGTTATGTCCAGAATCGCTATTTATTGGTTTATAGCGTTTTTCGGCTCTACTATTGACACTGGCCAAACAAGCGTAGCTGTGCCACAGGAGGTGGATGGTGCCAAGTGGGGCACTTGCCACTGTAGTCGCAGCTGCATTCGCGAATTAACTTTATTTGCATGTTAACTCGAGCATCCCCTTAATGGTCTCAGCTCCATCAGCCGCCATTAACTATCCTTCATTTGAGATTTTTCACTTGATCACACAGCAAATCAGTTGCAAATGAACGCTTCATTTTCTTTTTGCCTCTCATTTCCACTTCAATTTCCAATTGTGTCGCGGAAAATGTATACAATTTTTAAATAACTAATATAATTGTCTTGGTTCTGCAATAAGTCGGATATTATTACTGATAAATCGAAGAAAGCACTTATTGCTACAAACATTTGATTGATTCTTAAAATAAATTAGGTAATTTAGCAATTTTCACAACTGAAGCAAAAAACGATTTTATTTCTCATATGGCTAAAAGTTGAAACTACATTCTCTTGGTCTGAGAACACACCAAGTTCAGACATAATGTTTTTGTTTCGAAAGATATTCTTATAGGTCTACTTTCAATACACACCAAACAAAACAGATTGTTCTAGTTTAGTTTTGTGTGTTAGAGGAAAGAAAAACTCCTCGCTAAGTAAAAGCTAAGGAAGAGTTTTTCAATCATAGCAAACCAAACAATATACAATTAAAATTATTTAAAAAAATCATATTCTAGACTTTTTAATTCTAAAATTGGAATTTAACTGGAAGAAACTACATTACATTTTAAATGTGGTTCAGTCAAAAATCAGAAATGCAAAGGATGAAAATAGAAGAATAAATCGAAAGGAATCTAAATTTTGTTTCCTATAAGGGCAAAACGTTTTTGTTTTTTGTTTTGTTCCGTGTATTATTGCGTTAAGGAATAAGACAGATTTTGATAACGACAGGGACTTCAAAATATTTTCATTCATTCGGTGTTTGTTGGACTGGACTGACTCAAAGCAGAATGTTTTGGTTTTGTGGTCTACTTACATATATTCTTGATTCGGTGTGTTCTCAGCCTTACTGTTAATTAAGTGAATAAATTATCGATATGTATCGACATGTACTATCAACAGCAGTCCAAGTTAAGCACCTAACACACCACTAAGAGGAAAAGAAACGAAGCGTTTAATTCGCTTTCGACTTCTCTGCATTTGTGTGTGGCAAATTAACTTTGTGATATTGGTTACCACGCAGCAGTGGTAGCCAGAAGCAGCTTAAGTCTCAGTCTCTCTCTGCGTGCCCCACTCACTCTCTCTCTCTCTCTCTCTCTCATTCTCTATATCTATCCCTGCAGCCCTCCCTCATTCATTGCCTTTCATCATTATTTTTACACTGTAGAAATTGTATGTTAAATGCAGCGCCCGCTAAAGTAGGCAACAAATGCTTATGCCATTTAATTTACTATATAGTTGTGTGTAAGTGCGTGTGTGTATGTGTGTGTGTGTGTGAGTGTGTGTGAGTGAGTGAGTGTATTAGTTGTATGTTGCATGCTTTGCCGTTTAATTGCCAACTGTTTAACCGCTAGAGTCAGCACCTGCTCCCACCCAAACATATATGTTTTGTTCTTTGATGGATTTACTTAAGTTTCGTTTGGTAATCATTGTGCAAATACTGTGGTCGCCTTTCTTTAATAACTACAAAAGCTAATCGAAAAGCAATAATTGCAAAATACAATGATCATTTGCGAGCGAGCAGTGTTTGCACAAATGAAATGTATGCATATATATGCATATGTATATGTATATATATATGTGCAATACTTATGAGTTTTATATGCGACAAATGTTTGCTAATTGCTAAATGTTTCCTCTTCTTCCTTAAATAACACGCAAACAAACAACAACGTACGAAATGACCAACCACAAAACCCAATTCCACTAATTGCACTTGAAATATCCCAACCCCGATTTCATATCCTTGGCCAAAACGAAAAACTTGCAAAAACTTGCGGCATCAACAACAACAACAAAAACAACACCAACAACACAAACAACAAAATGAAAATGGCATCAAATTGCGCTGACATCTGACGACGTCGACGACGACACCAAACGATGGCGCCTGAACCTGGACTGAAATTGGGTATTGTGGATTGTGTTGGGGATTCTGTGCCAAACGCCGCCATTGTCAACGACACTGACACCAAACGACGACGGCAACGACTACAACGACGGCCAACTTTTGTATCGTTGACACAACAACTATCCAAACCCGCACTCTCTCCCCCCTCACCACTCACCTACCACCTCCTACCGACTTCCCCCCACACACCCTCCACTGCATCCGTCTCGATTCGAATGGCAACGCCAACTGGCGCAACGGCGCCGCAACGAAACTTCCAACTAAATTCTAATACATCCGCAAATCGATTTTGCTGGCTAAACCCCAACTATCGTCCAAACAAAAAATACCAACAAAAAAAAAATAACAACAAAAAAACTGGTAAAAAAATAAAAAAACTAACCGGAAATTGCTGAATGCGGCGTTGATGACGCTGCCTGTTGACCAATAATTGTTACAACTACAACAAACTCAAACTCGCCACGAATTTAACGATTTGTCGGCGTTTGACAATGACAATGATGACAATGGGCCAAATCGAAATAAATGGCATTAACAATATGATATGTTGATGACAATAATGATGGATATCGCAATTCATTCCAACATCCCCAACAACAACACCAACAACTTTATTCGCACACTCAAAATGCAATTTGCAAAACAACAACAAATTCAACTGCCGCAACGCAATGAAATGCAACGAATGAAACGATGGAATGAATCCACAAATGTGCCTCCGTTCACAACAAACTCAACAACCATTACAACAACGTTGACATTTTGTTCATCATCAGGTCGCTTGGATAAAGGCCGATGCAAAAGCCATTCTGGCCATACACGAGCACGTGATAACGAACAATGATCGACTATCGGTTACCCACAACGATTACAACACTTGGACACTCAACATACGCAGCGTTAAAATGGAGGATGCCGGCAAATACATGTGCCAGGTCAATACTGATCCAATGAAAATGCAAGTAAGTATGCCCATTACCAATACACACACAAACCATTATATAATATAATACTATAAGTTATCGATAATTTGAATATGAAATGTTATCTATTAGTATGCTGCATTGTGTGTGTCTGTTATCGATAATAATCTGATGGCAGTCCATAAGGAACAATATTATATATGTATTTATATTTATTATAAGCTAACAGTCCGATAACAGTTAAGACGAAACATAAAGAGAAATATATTTATTTAAGACTCGTGTCTGTTTGTTATCGATAACAATCGCACATTTGCAAGATATGCTAACAAAAAGAACTTCTGCTGGTTGGTTGCTCCAACCTGGGGTTCGTTTAGAGCAATAGCTGATATCGATTCTAGTCAGCCAGGCCAATAAGTCCATTCAAGTTGATTTCCATATTGTTAGACGCGTTATATCCATGCAAATGGCACAACTTTTGATTGCATTTTGCAGACATTCTGTTTGACACCATGCATTTTCAGCTATTTACGCTTGGGACAAGTTGGAACAAGTTAGCAATATTACAAAGTTAACAGTGTACATGAATTGTGTTGCCCAGAGCGGCTAATTTAATACAAACAAGAAATAAGTCTTATCTAAGGCATGTCGAAGATTCCACACAAGAGCTCATGTTTATCGATATAGTGATCTGATCCGATATATGAGCTGCTTACAAAAAGACAAAAGCTGAGGGACTAATTTGCATATAAACAGACGGAAACGTCTACATCGAGTCTGCTAGAGATGCTTATCGAAATACATATATTTCTAATCTAAAAGCAAGTATTGGAAACAAAGCTATAACACTCTGAAAACACTTTCCGTATTTGTATTTATGGGTACACATTCACTTATGCAACTCCTAGCTAAAATCAAATTCAAATTCATTGACAGTTATTAATTCTGCACAGTGAGTTCCTTTGGCATTCTCTTTATTTGGGAAAGAACATTTCAAACTGCTGCAAAATGTATTATCGGAAAATGAAAAAATAAAATCAGATACACGAAATGAAATTTCTCTGGGGCTGCTCTTGCTGCATATATTTATATATATATTTAAAGCATTTATATATGTATACATGTGTGTATGTGTGTGTTTGTGTACAGCGCTTTAATAACCAATTTAAACCACAAACAGTGGATTTTGTCTGTGTCAATAAGAGTTCAGTGCGTGTATTGTGCTTTAATTAGTGTGCCAAACAGCAGAAATGCATACGAATCTTTGCCATTTACTTTGACGTTTCGTCAACTCGAGTTGGCAACGCGTAGCATGTGGCAGGAATGAATGACCGTTGTTGATATGTGCAAAACGATTGTGTTTGCAATTTCATTTCGCATCGTTTCGTTACGTTACGTTACGTTATGTTACGTAAAAGAGAGTTTCTGCCGTTTACAAAAGCAACAGCAGGAGTAGCAGCAGCAGGAGTAGCAGCAGGAGTAGCAGCAGCAATGGCAACGGCTTGCAATAAAAGTAACCTAACAAAGCGAATTGAGTGAAAAGCAAATATGAGACAAATAAAAAGCAAACAGCCTGTTCGACGCCCTCTGCAGTCTTCTTGGTTGCCTTTTAACCCTTTATGGCATTTTCCTTATTTTATTTTTTTTTATTTTTCGTCTTTTTTTTTTGGTTTTTAATACATTTTCTCTTCGTTTGGCCATGCCGTATAAATTTCGCGCTCTGCTCGTTTGAGGTTTTTGTGACGTTTACTTTATGTTATGACGCAACTGTCAACTGCAGCAGCAATAACGACAACCACAGCAACAACAAAGCAACAACAACAAGAGCAGAAGCAGTATCAACGATGTACAGCAAACAGCGGCGACATCAGCTCCATATTAATTCACCATTAAAAATCAACGAGCAGAGCCAAATTCACTTAACATCACATAGCTTGTTATATTACATTTACTGCTGTCGCTGTTCAAACATAACGTTTAACATAAAAGTTGTAATTAAACAACCGAAATTCGAAAGAAATGAGTTGCTTATGCCTATATTGTGGAAGCATCCAGACAATGACACCAAACTTAATGAACGACCAATGATTTTAATCGATAATTATCGTAATTTAAGCCAAGTCACAACTCTAAAAAAAAAATTCGAATAAAAATTTATTAAAATTAAAAAATTTTTAATTAAAAAATGCTTTCAAATCAAATATGCAATTGTAATCATTACAGACCGCCGTACTGGAAGTGGTCATTCCGCCGGATATAGTCAACGAGGAGACTTCCGGTGATATGATGGTGCCCGAGGGCGGATCCGCTAAGCTCGTCTGCCGCGCCCGCGGCCATCCCAAGCCCAGGATCACTTGGCGTCGCGAGGATGGTCGCGATATTATCGCACGCAATGGTGCTCATCAGAAAACCAAAGGTTTGTCCGACAATCTGGCAGCTGAGTGACTGACCGCATGTCAAACTTTAAATTCCTTCTTCCATTCAGCCATTTCAGTGGAGGGCGAAATGTTGACGCTATCGAAAGTCACGCGATCGGAAATGGGCGCCTACATGTGCATTGCCTCCAATGGAGTGCCGCCAACCGTGAGCAAACGCATGAAGCTACAGGTGCACTGTGAGTATGCCAAGGACCTAACCCCACTTTTAGATATCCTTTGCCAAGGAGTGTTTCAGTTTTGTCACGACACATGTTACACATTCAACCCAAACACAATATCATCTGAATTTGTCTTCTTTGCCTTAAATATTATTATACGAGTATAACCAAAATCTGTCTGTTTGTCATTCAGTTTTGGGTTAGTTTATCCTACGCTTAAGCACAGTATGTACTTCTAGAAGGGCATTTAAGCTTCGGCGCATTCGTCGCTTGTTTGGATTCACATTGATAAATGTGCTCGAGCTGGGACGTTGCTAACAAATGCTTTGATTTATAACCCCAATACTTGCAGCTATAATAATAATATTAATAATAGCTAACATACACAGTCGGATGTGCGTGCGTGCAGCTGTATAGGATCGAGACTGTACTCTACGAAGCCCAATACCTGCCATCCGACACCCGACACCCATGGCCCAGTGGCACCCCACGGAACCGCAGTATAACGCAATAACTCGAACTGCAAGTGTTTCCGTTCCGATTTCCGGTGCCTTCATTTGGCGTGGCGGACGCAAACTTTTCAAATGCATTAGGACATCGGCTACCGGAACGTAGGGTGTCAATGAGTGTTGCCGGGGATGGGCGGTGAGGGATGGGAAGGGGTTGTATTCGTATGTAGAGTGTGCTGTCTAGACGGTTTGGGCGAACGTCACGTCTTCGTAGTAAAAGTTGAACTGCTTTTCCTTACCTGCCGTGTGTATCATGTGACGTGGTAATTGCAAAGGGCAGTTGCCTGCCACCGCATCGTACCACTCAGCGCCGACCACCCTCACACCATGCCACAAAAACCTCGCCGCGGGATGAATGCGTGCCAGTGGCTGCTGCAACGCATTAAACTTAATGAAATTTTTGCAAAGAAAAAGGGGAACAAAAAACAAGTTAAAAAACGACAACGACAACAATAACAAAGAAGAACAACAAATATGAATGCTCGAACTGAAATGTGCCCGGCTGTGTGATACCCTGCTCTGATCTGCTGCTAATAAACTGTAACCCCAATAATAATAGTAAAGCCACATCAATATCAGAATGTGTATAGGGTTGAAACCAGTTGATGATTCTGTCCGTTAAACACATTTGCCCAACTAAGCTAAAGCCTTTTTACAGGGTATAACAACAGCGTGGTGACACAATTTGGGTTGTGTTCTTGTCAGAGAGGGGTGAGGTTGTGAATGAGAGAAGCTGTGTCGTAGGCAAAAGATCCTATCTACAAATTATATTGACACGGCCAAAATGTTCGCACCTCAATGAGCTGCTGCACGTGTGCGTGTATGTGTGGGTGTGTGGGCTGGGTATGTGTGTATGTGTGTGTGTGACACAGTCTGTGCCCTACTCAAATACACCACCACCCCTTCCTCACGACCGCAGTGCTTAAACGTCTGTCACCGCCGCAAAAATTAATTTCAATTTTTTTTCTTCTTTTTTTTGCTTATCTGCTCCAATTTTTTGGCTTTGCTTTCGCATTTCATTTCATTTCTTTTCTCATTTCATTCTCGTCTCTACGTTTCTCTGTCTGTCTGTCTTTATATCAGTCATTTGCTGTCTGCTTCAATCTCTGCTTCTACTCCTCCAGCGACCGCCCCTCCCTTCGTCCTTCAGTTTACCCTCGCTTGCCCCTTTATTGCTTTTGCCTTTGCGACTGCGTCTCAATTTCAATTTAAAAACTCATATGGGCGAAAACAGCAGACCCAAAACCCCAACTACCCCTCCCCACCCACCCCCACATACACACACACACACACACACACTGCTTTCCCTACCAAAAGTATCTGCTGCTGGGGCTGATGCTGTCTCTTCTGATTTCTTCTGCTATGCCGGTCTTTGACGTTACTTTTCCACCTCTGCTTTTTGTCTTGTTGTCTTAAACTGACAACAAGAACAAAAAAAAAGGAGACACCACCCCCTCCCACCAACCCCCTTAAGAGCACCCCCAACCCCAACATTCAGTTCACATTCACGGCTTTTGCCGCTTGATTTCTTAAGTTGCTTCAGCGCTTTGCTTGATTGATTTTAATCAGAAAATTAAGTGGATCCCTGGCTTTAAAAATCAACCCGCCGCAAGCACAAAGAGAAAATGTTTGTTGTTGATGTGCGGTAGGTGGCTCTAAGAGCACATCTTTATGTCTAATACCTATGATTACATTTGGACTTAGTCACAATTAGGCCTAGGTTTATACTACGGTGTTTTTCTAACCACAAACTACGTGAAGCTTGCTTGGTACAACTTTGCTTCTTTATCGGCTTCTTTTTCCTCTGTTATTCAATTCAAATCCAAACGACAAAATTCGTCTTATACTTATGTAGAGTTAAAAAAAAGGCGCCAAATACAAGATACGTTGTAAATTGAAGTAAGCGTTAAGAAATCTTAAGTGATATTAGGAATTACCTATCATTTCTTAGTAGTTCTTATCTATTGAATATCTAGCAACTATCAAGTCAATAACTTATCCGTTAGATGTACATGTTCATAGCTAACAACTTGAAGCTTTCTTAAGTAATATCCAAAGTTTTTTGTAATGTCGGAACTTTTGCAGTTGCTCACATGATTAGTTAGATCAAATAAACACATCGAATAAACATTGCTGCTTTTGGGGTAAACAAAGGGAAAGACAGCAAAAGACGGCAAGGGTGTGCCAGTGAGAGGAATGCTAATGACGTAGATGACTTGTTTTGATCAATGCATTGTATAGCAGACAAGTTGCAGCTAAGCACACAACTGACGCGTAGTCTACGACATCGGTATGACAGAGCCATATAAAAGGCCCAATAATCTGAATGAGGAGCACTGCAATTTCTGGCTGATAGATCGCTAGATAGATAGAATGCGCATCTGCATAATTGTTACACTGCTCGCTCTGGTAGCTGTCGCCGCCGCTCAGGGTGGTGGAGGTCGCCCTGGTGGTCCTGGAGGTCCTGGTGGTCGTGGCCCAGGCGGTCCAGGTGGACCTGGTGGTCCTCCCGGCCGTGGTCCAGGCGGTCCTCCTGGCCGTGGTCCAGGCGGTCCACCCGGTCGTGGTCCAGGCGGTCCACCCGGCCGTGGTCCAGGCGGTCCACCCGGCGGCGGTCCAGGCGGTCCACCCGGCGGCGGTCCAGGCGGTCCACCCGGCGGCGGTCCATGCGATTGTCCAAGCAGCAGCAGCTCCACCAGTACCAGTACCACTTCAAGCAGCAGCAGCTCCACCAGTACCAGCACCACTCCAAGCAGCAGCAGCTCCACTGGAAGCTCCACCGAAAGCTCCACTGAAAGCTCCTCTGAAAGCTCTTCTGAAGGCTCAAACACTGAGAGCAGCGGTTAGACTGCTTCTTCTTTTTTCAATAAATCACAAATTTGTTTAATATATATCAATATAAATCTATCATTTATCTGGGCCACATCATTCTGTTTTTCATTCAATTAACCAAATATTGACAGAAGTTCAGTCAACGTCCACAATAAATAGTACAGCTTGTTCTGTAAACATGCCTGCGGATACAGCTGGCTGACTCCACTTACTAAGCTAGAACTGAATGGATATACTATTTTCTATTAATATTCATCACTTGGATCAAGCTAGCGCTTAGCTAATTTGTGTGTCATATTCAATAATCACTTTATTCATTAGCTGATGCGATGAGTCAATCATATTTTAAAGAAGTTAAGTTAAAATTCGATGGCGAAAGCACTCAGAATCGGCACATAATCCATCAAGAGCACGTCAAATATTGTCATGCCAAGTCTGCAGTAACTATGATAGCAGATTTATGGAACTGTCAGTTATTATTGGGATGGATTTATTCAAAGCTCGGCAAATGGACATCAGCTATTTGAGCACATCATAAAATCCTCAAAACGATTATTGCACAAATATTACCCAAACGCGTTTCAACCGAACAGCAGTTGCAAAACTCTATTAGAACAAATTGAATTTTCAATAAGTGGTAGGCAATGCAACAAGAACAACAACGACTGAAATAAATACAAAAATAACAACAACGGCTACGAGGCAACAAACAACAGAAGCGAAAAGCAAGAAGAATGGTTGGCAGGCAAGGATTACAGCACGAGTCGACGCTAACAACACATGACATATGCTACATTATTTGAAAACACACTCTCTCACACACAATAGACACACACACACACACACACACACAGTACAGGCAGCCACACACACATATATGAAAGTGTTGCATGCACAATTCCAATAAATTGACCAATAATGAACGGTTGAACGCAACCAATGCGGGCAAACGCTGGGGTGTTGGGGGCTGGGGTGGAGGGTGTGCAACATTTCGGGGCATGCGATGGCGGACAGCTAGCCAAAGTTGAAAAGCCAAAAACAATGATGGTCGCTGACCAAATCACTGGCACCCGCACCAGGGCACCAAGACATTGCCAAAGACAACATCCAAACTCCAAAACAAACGAAAAACAACGAAAAACACGCAAGGCAAAAACTTGGCAAAAACACAACACATGCAACGAACTCAAAGCAGCTGCTAAACTGTTCCAGAAATACCCTAACAAAGTAATGAAAACCAGTTCAATGCTTTGGCATGCATTTGTAGCTGAAAAATTTGAATAAAATGCAGTTTTAAACAAATTAACATTTTATATTCATTTATTTTGTATTCGTTTATTCATTGAATAATCCTATATTAGCAAACTTTGACCGATTTCAGTTGAACAAAGAATAATCAATATATAATTGGTGTAAAATAGTTGAATAAATGGTCTGAGGCAGTGATGTTTTTATATTGATTTGGTTTGATTTGAACTTCAAAGCGAAGCACTTACAGAATTTGTATTTGCAAGTGAGTCAAGTTTCATTTAAGAAATAATATTATAATATTTGATAGACTCCCTTGTTGCATGCTACAGTATTTGATGTAAGCGCATAATTTTGATCGTTCGTTTGGCTTATATGCTGTACTCAAATGGAAACTTGTTTTCTTCGGTATTGATGTTACATATCATAGATACTTTGGCAGCATATTAGGTGAGCTCACATAGCTGATATACTCGCTTCAACTAAGTGCAATTTGTAGAAGGCATAGAGCAAAGAGAAATGTTTGAGTTGGGTTACGTTCGGCTGGGTTTCAGCACGAGTTGGTGCTCTCGTTTGTTTGGTGCTGGTTTGCTTGGCCGCTACTAACAGCAATATAATTCATTTTCAATTAAAATCGTATCAGTTGAACAACACTGCTGTCATTAACAAATAACGCCATTTCATGAAATCACAGCATCACAAAAGCTGTTGCAACACTCACAGCTTAATTGCCAGCCAGCGGGGATAGGGGCAAGGTCAGTTAGCTAACGGAGTTTGTTGCCAGCTTGATGATAATGTTGACCAACTTGCTTAACCACTCTAACTCGCTTTCCTCCATTCATTTTCCCTCTCTTTTTGCTCTTTCTCACTCTTTGTTCACACAGTTCATCCGCTGGTGCAAGTGCCAAATCAATTGGTTGGAGCCCCGGTTCTAACGGATGTCACATTAATTTGCAACGTTGAGGCATCGCCAAAAGCCATCAATTACTGGCAGCGCGAGAATGGTAAGTTCACTTCCCCATTCCCCCTAAAACCAAGGGGTTTACTTTTTTGGCTTATTGGCGTTTTCTTTATTTTCAGTTGGGAATGCCCGGTACATAGGGCATTCCTTTAGTTAGCATACCCTGTGAACAAACATTCCTATAAGGTATACAGAGTGTAGGCTCTAGAAATCTACACATTGATCACTCTAACTAAATTTAAGTCTTAAAAAAAACCAATTTCCCCATTTGAAGAACGTTCTTTAATTTAGATAATATTCCACGAATTAAGTGCAGGGTATTTGTAATTGTGACTTTTTTATGCGAATCTACTACTGCTACTGTTCCTTGTGCATTTGCGATTTTGAGCGTTCGAACAAAGTGAAAAGCGGTGAAAGAGCCAAAGCCCTTTCAATGCCGCAATTTGTCTTTATTTGGTTTGCGTTCGATGCTCAAATATTTTCTGGCTGGTTGTTGTTGTCCGGGCGATTTCTTGAGCTGCAGCTGAAGTTGAAGCATTTCTCATTTTTCCTGTTTTCTTGTTGCCGGTGCTTGTAAAGTGCATTTGACGTATATTGCAAACGTGACAGCCCGATAGAAGAGCTGCCGCAGGCATCAAAAATGTCATCATCACAATGGGAACTTTGAGCGCTTCGACTTCGACTTGGTCATTGACAGGCGCTGGGTTGTTGGTTTGGGTTTGGGTTTGGGTTTGGCCAGTTTGCTGGCATCATCGCATTTAATGCCATTTAGCCACATACTCATTTGGATTTCGATTTGGGTTTCGCTGGCACAGGTGAAATGATTATTGCAGGTGAGCGATATGCCCTCACCGAGAAGGAGCACAACATGTACTCCATCGAGATGATTCTGCACATTCGACGACTACAATCGTCTGACTTTGGTGGCTACAAGTGCATCTCAAAGAACAGCATTGGGGATACCGAAGGCACCATACGGCTATACGGTAAGTTGACACACCATTTAACTTTTCCAGTTCAATTTACAAGAAAGTTGTAAATTGTTATTGCTTTTGCTAAACAGTTTGCGTAGACATTTTTACTTTGGACAATGATTAGCAGAAAGTAAAGATTGTAAATAGCTTCAGGAGGTGTTCATAACTTTGCACTTTCACACTTAGAAAGCAACTAAATAGCGCTTGCTCATTTCAACTGTCCTTTGTCCTTTATTGCGTTTAGAAATGGAGCGACCTGGCAAAAAAAATCAACGCGAAGAGGATCTCAATGAAGTGACGGTAAGTGAAAAACAAAAAAACAAACTCAGACAATCCGACAAAGAGAGATGAATGCGTATTAATAAAGATTTTTGTATGAAAACACACACATTCAAATGTCTTGAAACCTTCAGAAGAACGAGGTGGTGGTCAAAGACAATCGATCCGAAGATGGGTCACGCAACCAGAATGGTCGCCTGTACAAAGACCGCAGCCAGGCGGCGGACGTGGGCAGTGGGGCACTGAGCAGGAATGGGCCAGGGACAATGCCACTCATAGGAATTCTAACAGTATTCGTCTTATTAACAACTAAACTGTGCTGCAATACAAAAGGTGACAGTCAAGCCACTTGCGCCATACAGGACGCGGAGTGTACAGTTGACAGATCAAAGACAAGGATAACAAGGGCTGATGAACCGTTGGCAACAGCCCAACAGCAACCGCTACAAAGGGCCCTTAGAATTTTAGCTTCATTAAATTGTAATTATAAAGATGCATTAACAGCAACAATAAGAGCCGACAAGAACAACAACAACACACACACATGGCTAAAAAAAACAACCAAAAATATGCCACACAAACAAGGAGCTTAAGGCAACAAAACAACGTCAACTACAATTGAGTTTTTTCCTCTTTTTTTTTGAGTCTTTGTATTGCATTGGACATTATTCAATAAGAAGAAATACATGTACGCATAAGTAGTTAAGATTAAATGGAAATCGATAAAAACGCGTTTAAATGTTACCTCGTTAGTCAAAGAAAACAAAAAAAAAAAAAAAAATGATAATTGCAGAATCGAAATGAAAAAAATCCATAAAAGTCAATGTTTAAATGTTGTTTGGATTTTTTGTGAAAGGCTTTAGCTACTTAAAGTATGCTAAATAAAAACATAGCTTCGGTGTGCCGAAGATGAAATCCCCTTGCAGACACATTGTAAATGCACTCAGTCCGATTTCAGCAGACAAAACTTTCAAATTGCACTTTCAATTTGGGGTTGGGAGTTTTTTGATAACGTAAATGAATCCCTGATCAAGATAGTTTCAAGGGATTGTTATGGTAGCTCCACTAAAAAGGAGTCTGATCTTGCTTTGGCATAGATCAAGATACCTTAACTCATCTCTTAAATCATCTCTTGTGCCTGCAAGGGTATACAAATAAACCAAACCCAATCATTTGCATACCGTAAATAATCGTACACAACTTGATAGAAACCCAATTCGCTTATCCCTATATCATCCCATTATAATACATAGTTGTCTATACACTTAAGCCAATAGTGTGTGTTTTTTTTTTTTTTTTTTGTGTTTTTAGTTCCGTTAAGTCTTATACTTAATGTATGGGTAGGTTAGGGGGTTCTGTATATACAACTAGATATACTATGATACATATGGTATATGTGCAGCTCAAATCATATTTATGATTAACGTTATTACAACATAATACTACGGTATTGTAAATATTCGCACCTGTAGTGTTCTTCACAATTTGTTATCGCATTGCTCCATTTGTTCAAAATTGAAGTATTAGGAATTGATTTCTATTACTTATGCTGGAGTTTGATTTATTTCGTTATTGGTTAATTGATTAGGTACATAAATAGATCTCTATAGATGTAAGTTGAGAAGTGGAGCTGAACATATTTTGCAGCATGTTTTTGAGTCAGGTGGAAAGCAAGAAGCGAACGAACTGGTTCAAAATGCATCAACAGTTGCCATGAGTCTGTGAACTGGTTCACAGTGAGCCACACGAACTAGTTTATTGATCGTAAGATCAAAGAATAATTAAGTTTGCATAGCAAACCAAAATTAAGAAATATCTATTTTAAGTTTTTTTTTTCAACACTTGATTGCTTTTCCGAGTAAGAGTTGAGACAGAGCGACTGCGTATGGTTCTGCTGGAACTAGCTCAAAAAAAAACAACTATGTAATGTTTCCGGCGTAATGCGAGCTACTTCTCTCGTTCCTGCAAGCAATCTAAAACAATAAGTAGAATCGGAACTAGTTCATATGAACAAAATGCTGCACATTCTAGAATGAGCCCTAACGAAAAATACCGCAAACTAAAACTAGTTCACTTTTGGCTAGCAGTCAAATACGACAAACTGGAACAATGAACTAAAATATGGATTGACTAGCAAACTCAAATGAACTAGTATGATGAATTTAAAAGCCAAACATATATAACAATTTTTTCATGGATTTAGTTCAAATGAACAAAGAACATCCAGCGCATGCTACTCTAAATGGAACACGCTCAAATAAAAAGAACTAGTTCGAACAAAAAATGAGTGAATTCCATTTTAATCCCAGCTTTTCTTATCTTTCTGATTTTGGTTGGCAAGCCCTGCCAAATCATCGCTCTCTCCCTAGGCTAGAAGTACTTAAAGTGCATGCATCCCCATATGCATATGTATACATACACATACATACACATATGTATGCATGTGTGAGTGTGCTCACAAATTACGTATGTGTGTGCAAGATCAGCTTAATTCCGTGTTCGATATTGTATGAATTCCAATTAAACAGAATAAATATATTAATGTGCCAAAATGCAATTGAAAAATATTTAAAAATGGAAACCAAAGAAAGAATTATATATGTGTGTTCGAATATTCAATAAACTTAAAAATAAAAAACAAAAAACCAAAAAAAAATATCAAATAGTAAATACATATATACGAGTACATATTTGTCTCTATAATCCTTATAGACCAGCATATATGAAAAACAGAGAAACGAAATACACAGAAAGAAAAACGACACAATAAATAATAACTCATACACAATTTTGTGACAAGATTCGACAACGTTTTAGTATTCTAGGCTGGGAATATGCGAAACCTTGCTCCCCTCCCTCCTTTGCTACAAACATATATTTAAAGTTTATATCTACATATATGTGTAATACTACCGACTAACCCAGACGTACTCTGACTTAATATACGTACCAAAAATGTATTAGTGAAAATGCGAGGAGAAGAAAATGAGAACAGAAGCAGAGAGGCAGGGAGAGAGATAAAGAAATACATTTGGAAATATTCAATAAACTTAAAATACTACTATATATATAGGGAATAAGATATGTATTTTTTTTTTTTGAGATGGATGATATGATATATCGCATAGCAAATCAAAGTTACGACTATAAGAAAAATATTCATAAATACATAAGCTACGATTACTTTTAGCGAAAATTCGAAAATAGAAAGAGCAAACAACTAAACGCAGCTATGATTTAAGCTAAGTTAAAGTTAACTAAGTTATCCATGTGAAAACCCCATAAAGAAAACGTAATACATCCAATGTCTACGCTAAGCAAATACCCCTTAAATAAAAAAAAGGAAAGTAAAAACCCAAAAATAAGAAAGAAAAAAAAAGTTCATGAGTGAAAATACTCAAAAAGTATGCAGAACTATTCACAACAAAACTACAAAAACATAGACAACACTCAATAAAGAAAATATCACCACTTTTTGTCTATGTTCATGTATATAAAAAAAATGTTTGTATTTGTATTGTAAATTCTGATCAAAACAAGCCCCATAAAGAAAAAGCGAAAATGCAAAATGGCAAGAGATTAAAAAACCAAAAAAAAATAATATGTATATGTAATAAACAACTGAAAATTGAAATCCATGCAAAATAAAGTAAAAAAAACCTATGAAAACCTATGCGTTTTTTTCTTTCTTTAATTCCGACGATTAAAACCAAGGTAATTAATAGCTTAAAATCGGAGGCCGTCTTGCATCTCGAAAAAGGTTTGTAACTCATTCAACTCTGGCAGCGTTTATCTTTATAGATGAAATACAAATTAGACAACTAATTTGAGTACTTCTCTTTCTCTCTGTCTCTCTGGCAACACTCAACTCTCAACTGGGATTAACTTTAATATGAAAATGACTTGGCAAGCACTTGAATTTAGATGCATACGCTGTGCACTTTAATAATGTTACATTTCGCAATCCCGCTACCACATCCACCCGCTCCCCCACCATGCTCTCTAACAAAGACAAACCAGGAGTGGCATTGCGATGAGAGCGTGGCAGCTCTTGCATTCGTGGTCTGGGGCTTGAGTTTGGCTGGAGACGACATCAAATCATTAGCAGTGCATAAAGCGTGAAACCAGACACATTACACACTTACACACAAACCCACACTTACACACAGAGACACATGGAGATGAATTTAAATTATTAGCCAAACGAGAGGCAGACTAAGTCTAATGCCAGCGGCATCGAGTTATCACCCTCTCTATCTCTATATCTCTCTCTCTCTCTCTCGCTTTCTTTTTTTTCTTTATCTCTATCTCTCTCACTCTCGATCTTTTCTCTCCATTTTGGCAGGTGAATTTTCGTTGTGGTGCTAATGTCATTGCTGGTTCCGGCTCTGGTTCGAGTTCTGGTTGGCATAATCTGCACATTGTTACATTTGTATAATCGCAATCTTTGACTGTCAGCTAAAAAATACCTCTTTGCAACTCCGACTCCGCTCTCCCAAAACAATTGCGAATTGTTGAAGATGCAAATGTTCAGATATTTTTTCCATTTGCATTGCCAGTACCCAAAACAAAAAAAGCGAATCGGAACAGGAAACGGCTACAGCTCAGGCTCAGGCTATAGCTCAGGCACGGGCACTGGCTCTGGCAACATTGTCACACAAATTATTCATTTTGCCCTCGTTTCTTTACACATGTGTTTTCCTACCCTGTAAATGAGCAGCTCTATAACAAACGGACTTACAACAATTGTTTACGAGTAATAGTTTGCGAATTTTGTTTCTGAAATAGTAAATTTAGTTGTAGTTTTTTCAAATTTCTAATCAATGAGGCAAACTTATTTAAGAAAAATGTAGCAATCAAGTAGATAAAGTTATGTTCCCAATATAAATGTTGCATGTATTAATTTCCACATCATTAAGAGTTATAATTTTATTATTTGGATGCTATAGTAAAAAAACAAAAGATACGTTTTTCTATTCCTATCAGATCAAAGTATAATTAATAATCTCAAAAAGTACGAACTAATAACTAGGTATGCCCGTTTTTTTGAGCAAGTTTCGAGGGTATCTGCTGGTCGACCCACATACCTGTTCAATCTTCATATTTGTGTGCTTGTGCAACACACAATATAAATAACTCTGCCAGACTTGTACATATTTTGTAACTACAACTTAAAATAAATACAAACACACTCTCCTCACACCGACACACATCGCTTGTAGATAGACAGATGAATATTGTTGTTGTTGGATAAGATCATTTGACCAACACAACATACCGTAAAATATTTGAATAAAGTATTTTTTTTCTGTATTTATTATTTTTTTTATTTATTATCATTTTTTTGTACATTTTATTTAGGTAGATTTGTGGATTTGTGTGTGGCGCACACTATTTACATTTCCGTGTGCGTGTGTGTGGCTGTGTGTGAGCGTGTGTGCATTTATACATTTTCGAAACAAATCGAGCTCAAATGGCAAAGGACATTGTCCTGGCATGCATTGTCCTTGTGTCCACGTCGCGTCGACAACATTTGTGGCTTCTGTTTTTCAATAATCAAGGCACGTGTGTGTGTTGTGTCTGTGTGTTTGCGGTTTTTTAGCCTGAATATTTGAAAATCCCACTTACACAAAAGTCGACCTGAAAATTGAAAGGAGAATTTTGCTTAGTTTAGTTTACAAATATTTGTAAATATACTAAAAGAAATTCGTAAAATTTGAAAGGCATTATTTATATTTTTCACAAAGTTTAAATGAAGAGCTTCATAAAATAATA